TTTAGCACAGGAGCACTTTAAAACCAAACGGGGTGTTTTGAGAATTTCCGAAAACGTACTGACATTCACTCTGTTATCAGGCATGTTGAGGCAATGAGCTGTGATTGTGAGACAGCTAAACAATTTGTAAAAACTTTTGCTGAATTGGTCAAAGCCAAAGGATACATCCCATAACAATTGCTCAGCTGTGACGAGACAGAGCTGTTCTGGAAAAAGATGCCAAACAAAACTTACATAATGGCAGAAGAAAAGAAGATGCCAGGTCACAAGCCCATGAAGGATACGTTGACTCTCGCACTGTAAATGCAAGTGGCGACTGCAAAGTCAAACTGGCTGATTGGATACCACTCAAAAAAACCCGAGTTTTCAAGATACGTAAAATTTTAAAAGAGAAGTTATGAGTTAATATGAAGGGCAACCTGAAAGGCATAGGTAACCAGGAAGTTTTTTTTTTTTTTTTTTTTTTTTTTTTTTTTTTTTTTTGTGGAGTAGATCTATTCGGTCCTGCATTAAGAAACACCTCAAGGTCAATGACGTACCTATGCAAGCCTTGCTCATCCTTGACAATGCTGCTTGCCATTCACCAAACCCCGAGGACGGCATCTTCAAGAAGTTCATCATAATAAAGATTCTGTACCTTCTACCCAACACCGCCCCTATCCTACAACCCGTGAACTAAGAGATGATCTCCAGTTCCAACAGATGATCCAACCAAATCTCCAACACTGCTTTGAAGTTACAGAGAACACAAACCTTACCCTTTGAGAATTCTGGAATTTCCTTTGAGAATTCTGCATTTCTCAACTATAATTTTGCCATATGCTTCAAAATTATTGATATTGTTGTTACGAAAAGGACCGTGACCTCTGCAGGGAAAAAACTGTGGCCTGACGTTGTGATTGAAAGGGACTTTGAAGGATGTAGACCCAAATTGGAAGTGCTGGAGGAGATTCTGTATCTTGGAAAGTCCATAGGCCTGAAAGGGGATCAGGGAGACATCAAAGAGCTTGTCACCACCTGAAGAATTGATGATAGAGGACTTAATGGAACTACAGAGTAACAAATGAAATTTCTGCAGGAAAATACAGAGGAGCCAGAAGCAGAGGAGGCTACCTCTTCAAGTGAGATAAAGAACAATGTGGGGCAAGGACAGGTTTCTATTGAAACACCCTTCAGATGAAAGTGACGACGGCGTGGAAAAGAAAAGAATTACTGAAGATAAAAATAAAGTTAAGCAAAAATGGGAGGTTGGAATTTAATAGGTATGTCTAATCTAATACACATGTATTATGTTTATTTCTCTAAATTATTATTTAAAAAGTTAAATTATTAGGTTTTATTTTGTTTATATACAATATTTGTTTATTATAAATACATTTTTCTTAGCTGAAGGTTTTTCTATTAAAATAGCTATAGAATTAGTAACTTATCAAGATGTATAGTGCTTGCACCTTTTCTGCGTTTTTCATATTAGCTTTGTTTCAACTACAGTAGTATTCATTTATAAAGGAAATTTTCAAATACACATGTAAGTTGTTTATTTTGGAATAAAACATAAAAGGAAAATACATATTAAACGAAAAAATAACAAATTATTAACATTTATACAAATAGCAGCTATCACAAAGCTAATTTTTCATAAAATTTATAGATGAAAAATGACAGATGATTACATTGGAGGATGAAATTATGCTTGAAAGACTTGTAGCACCTCTTTGTTAATAAGCTAATAGACATGAAAAAAGAAAATATATAACTTCTAGTATGAATGATCTTGCAGAAATAATGTAAAAATTTTAAATATACTTCATTATTTAATACAACAACAGTTTAACTCATTTCAGACATAACAAAGATTGATATTCAGATACAGAATACTAATCCTTAAAACAAACTGATGAACTAAAATGCATATTTTGATTATTGTGTAAACAATGAAGTATTTCTCTTTATGTGGCCAGCTGAAAACCATAAGCAAACTTCTTGGACTGAAGAAAATTTCAAGTTCTCCATGAAATTTTTATGATTTGAATTATTTTAATAACTTTTGTATGGTGTTTCAGGAATTATTTTGGAATTCGTAAACCAGCTCTTTTGCTTACAAATCCTCACCCTGTACCTGTAAATGCTTTCAGGAATATACAGTTCCCTTTTGAGGCCATTTTCCTATGTTTGAGTATGAGATGAAATGCTTCTTCCTTTGAAGAATGATATAGCATCCTTTTGGTAAATTATAAATTTTTCTATGACAGACTACGGTCAAAGAACTTCTAAGGAGAACTTTTTAATTCTTTCAGTGGATTAGGAATGCCAGCCATTTATGACAGACACCACTGATTTATCAGTAATCTTTGCACTGTTTAAATGATGGGTCAGAGTAATAAGGCAATGTATTTATTAATATATGTAGTTTTTCAATTACACAAAATATAGTGAACTTTTTAAAAATAACTAGCATTTCTGAAAAAAAAAAAAAATGTGTGAAATTTATAAAATGTGTATATTTTCAGAGATAATTTTTAAAATTTCCATACATGTTTTATATATACAAGAAATTTATTTGCATAAAACATTATATTTTTGATTCATAAGTTAATGCATTGGTAAAATTCTGAAGACTTAATATTTTATTAATGCCTTTTTATATAAGTTTTATTTTAAGTTAAGTAAGTTTTATTTTTTGAAAGTTATAATATGTCATTTCATCTAAAGAAATTTTTTTAATTCCAGCCACATGAAATTTTTTTCCCCCTGCTAATTATTGTAATATGTAGTAGGCACCACTAAATGTGATAATATTTATTCATGGCTATTTTGATAACACTAAATGATGAGAAAAAATTTGCTTCAGTACAAGAATGGAATTTAATTAATTTAATATAAATATAGCAAGGAAATTATCAGTAACAGAATTTTAACTAAAGAAATGTAAAAATTTGTTCATAAACTGTTCAAAACACTTATGGAAATTATTTAACCACTGATACTGTCCCCCTGATTCTTAGCACTCAGATGGAATCACTGGAAGAGAACATGCAAATATAAAATTTAAACTCTGCCCCCCCCCAAAAAAGAAACCTTAGTTTAATGTAGATTTTTTTTTAAAGGAGCAGGTTTTGTTTTTGAATAAGGACCTGTGTCTGATCGTCTTCAAAATCTAAGCAAAGCTAAGGTTACTTTTTTTTCTCTACCTAATTTAAAATTGTTTATTAAAATCAAAAACACGTTGTTTGGCTACAATAATTCCTTACTTTGTGACAATTTTCTGACATTCAGCAATTTTTATAATCCATTTAGAGGTTATTTGGTGACTTTACCTCAGTAAAAGCTATGTATTATCCTTATTTTTGTATACTGCAAAAATATGCTAAACTTCGGAAATACTTTTACTTTGGTTTCAATTCACTTCTAAAAGCAATGCTTTCTTCCCTCTCACTTTGGCAGGACTTATTTGCTTCTACCTGCTTCACTTTCAACATATTTTCTGACCTCAATGAATTATACAATCAAAGTTATCTCCATTGCATCACAACTACTTCATTTTAAGTAATTCTAGATTGGATGGGTGGGATTTCGGGAATTCAGTAGCAGTATCTGAATTATAACATTAAGCAGCATCTACTGCATATAATTTTCTTCATACGAATAAGTACTGATTTATTTTTTTAATAAAATAATAATTACAATAAGGTATAAAAACGTACAATTTAACAGCAAAATTCGTGAATTTAACTCATTAGACTATTCTGGTTTTGCTTCAAAAATAATCTGTATGAAAAAATGAATTGGGAATCAAAAATTAGACCTTAAGAATTGAAAAAATCTACTAGTGAAATAATTTCTTAATCCTATGCATTCAGTTCAGGCATATCTATATTAAGTTTGAATGCATATCTTTTAATATATACAGTCAAAAGTCTTTAATCCGGAATCATGGGGACTTCGGCGATTCCGGATAATAGATCATCAGTTTAAATCTGGTAAGATGGCATGCAGAAATTAAAATTAAAAATATTAACCGAATTTATAAATAAAAAATTATGATCTAAAGAGTATCAAATTTACAAAAAAAACTTGATATCTATTTGTTTACTTTATTAAACATTTCTTGAATGTAAGTTTTTTAAGTTGCTTCGTTTTATGTGATAATAATTTATCTTTAATTCTATAAACAGACATAATTTCTGTTTAACAAAGTTCCGCGCTGTTCGTCCTATAATTGCGTGTACCTCTGTATCTTTCTTCAGTATTGGAAGCGATTATAATGAAGAGGAATTTATTTGATCAATCAAAGACGGTACACGAGATGAAATACGACATTTAGTAAGGAATTATAAACCAAATAAAATAAAACATCTGCTCTGAAGATAAAGATAGTGCTGACCGATAAACTTCCAGTTCATTGCGAGCCGCGAAGTTCCCCTTTCCCCCCCCAGCAGAGCAGCATGAAATTGATAAACAGATTTCGGAATGGTTAGACGTTAGAGAAACAAAGGATATGCCTTTATCCATTTTTTGCAACAATTCCACTTTTTGTTTGATGGAGATCGAAACGTACTTTCGCTTTGTAGATTCTTTGGCAGCTCCAGCATCGTAAATTTTATTTGACATAATCGAAAGTTCAAGCTTACTTTTATAAAATTGCCCTAACAGTCTGCAAAAAATAATAAGCCGGATCCAATTTGAAGATTAAGGAACAACGCAATCTGCAACATTAACTGAAATAGATAATTTTAGCTTAGCTTATACCGTCTGTTATACATTAAATGCACATGCGTAAACGTATTATGCTCATGCGCACATGCAAACGTATTATGCGCATGCGCACACGCATGCGTAAAGGTTTCATGCACATGCGTAAATGCCTATGAGCATGCGTGAACGCATTATGCGTTGACACATTATGCGTTGACGTCTTTGAGGTAACTTTGAGGTCTGGATTAACGACTTTTGACTGTACTTGTATTGGATATATATATACATTGGCCATTCACAAAGGGTTGATATTTAGCAGTTTTAATCATAAATTCTAGTATAAATTCACACATATAGTTAGCAGATCAGTCATACTATCAATACATTTTCTTAAAATAACAATGGATATAGTGTGAAAAAGACTAGGTATCAAGGAAGCGATAACGAACTGGCATAACATACTGAAATTTTGTATTGTCTTCAAGTGTCTCGTAAGTATATATAGAATCTCCAAGTAAAACGTGAACAAACATTCTTCCACCATCAGCTTGAAACATGGAATTGATCTGCCCACACCAATCTTGATCTGGTAGAGGAAGTGAATGCAAAAGTTTTCCATCATTTAATGTCCATAATCTTGTAATATTGTCCTCTCCTGGAGCACAAAGTATATTCAGAGATTCATCTAAACTGAATGCTAATTTCTTATATAAACTATGGTGGTTTGGATACTGAAAAACTATCTTCTTTGTACGCAAATCAATCTGTAAAGAAAAGTTTTAAAATTGAATACATGATTCTATGAGGTATCTTAAAAATTTAACACACAATTAAGAAAATTATGTCAAAATTTTACTGAAAGGATAGACCAACATTTTTCCATTGTGTTTTTCTTCTTGTATTTCAACAATATTTTTATTTAAGGATAATAAGAAATTTTAATTGGAATATTTTATTTTTGAAAACACATTTCTTAATTAAAAAAATCTGATATAGATTCTACATGACTTCCTTGTATGGCCTATTAAATACTCTTTTTAAAACAACAATAAACTGATATTAAATATTGTTAGATATTTATTGTTAGGCTAACTACATATATAAATTGTATATGTAGCTAAATTTCATTATTTATTAGAAAATTAATTATTTTTGTTTTTAATTTTGAGATTACAAAAACATGAATATTTTTGTCATTTAAAACACATCTGTAATTGGAAGTGATATATATATATATAAATAGACAGATAGATATAGATTGCAATAAAAAAAGGAAATGTGTAACTAGATGTTATAGCAGTCACATATGCAAAGTTTCAATGTTCTACAGCCAATCGTTTTTATGTTGGTCGTATAGTCACACATTTTCAAACACAGAAGAGTTTTAAATGACGAAAATATTCATGTTTGAGCAATGTTAAATTTAAAAAAAAAAAAAAAAATTTCTTTCGAAAAATAATGAAATATACTCCAGGTTTATACTCGATAGGAAGAAATAAAATTATAAGAAGTTTGAAATCCTGTGCGACAAAATTTTATCAGATATTTAATTTCAAAATTTGCAATTTTGGGTGTCATTTTCAACTTGCTTCGAGGGATTGGTTAATTAAGTTAAAATAATTCTAAGAAATAAGTTTAAATGAAGTGCAGCAAAAAGTGTGTATAATTTAATAGGGCGTACAAGGATGTCACGTGGTGTCTAGATCACAGTTTTGACTGTACATACAAGTTTCCCCTTTTTTTTCAATTCAAACTTAAAGAAAATATTTCTTTAAAACCTTCTGTGATTATGTTGTACATTTTCAGACAAAGCGATAACTTACTTGCAGTCTAATAGGGACTGAAAGACTCTAAGTTAATATTTCAGAAGTTAGGACCCTGTATATTGGTTAATATTCATATTTCTAAAAAATTTTAATGATAGATTCTTCTTTCATGTGTTATATTGCGGTCTGAAAGTTACACAAATTCAATATTCTATGGCTAATCATTTTTGGGTTATGCAAAAGACATATGCAAGTAAAGACATCGTGAAAAAAATCCATTTTACAATTTATAAAAAAGAATCCTTTATTCTGTCTGTACACAGAAACATAACATAAACAAATCATCCAAATGGATTTTGGAAGGTCAAAATGGATATTTCTGTTGAAATATGATACCTAAAATGTTTCGAGATTACAATACTTCCTTTGCTTTGTACAAGGAAGTAAAAATGAATTTATAAGCTTAATATTATTTTGTAGTATTGTATTATATTATAGTATTAATATGTAGTAGTATTAATATTATTTTGTAGTACCTGAAGAAGGGGCTAACACTTACGCATCTACAGATAGTATTTAGCTTTGTTGTGACCAATACCTTTTTTGGTAATGGTACTAGTTTTGGGTGTCAAGTGGGAAATGCCAATACAGTCAAAAGTCGTTAATTCGGACAGCCGTAATCCGGAATGATCTATAATCCGGACCTCATAGCTAAAAACTTTCTGCACATGCGCCGCTCTGACGCATGCGCATAGGCGTTTACGCGTGCGCGTTTAATGTATAACGGACGGTATAAGCTAAAATTATCAAATTATCTATTTCCGTTAATGTTGATGATTGTGTTGTTCCTTAATCTTCGAATTGGATCCAGCTTATTATTTTTTGTAGACTATAAGAGCAATTTTATAAAAGTAAGCTTGAACTTTCGATTATGTCAAATAGAATTTCCGATGCTGGAGCTCCCAAAGGATCTACAAAACGAAAGTATGTTTCGATGTCTATCAAACAAGAAGTGGAATTGCTCAAAAAAATGGATAAAGGCATATCCTTTGTTTATCTAACCGTTCCGAAATCTGTTTATCATTTCACTACTCTGTGCGGGGGGGGACGGCGGGCGCAATGAACTGGAAGTGATCTCAGCACTTCCTTATCTTCAGGGCAGATGTTTTTATTTTTTCGGCTTATAATTCCTATAAATGTAGTATTTCATCTCGTGACTCCGTCTTTGATGATTTAAATCAATTCCTCGTCTTATAAATATCACGAATACAAATCAATGTTTTTGGTTGCAATTTTCTAATTTCGGCTATGCAATGTATGCTTTACGCATGCGCGCGTTGAAAGAAATGTTTATAAAGTAAACAAAAAATTTTTTTTTTTTTTTTTTTGTAAATTTTGATACCTTTAGATCATAATTGCTCATTATTTTATACATTACGGTTTCATTTTTATAATTTCTGCATGCCATCTTACCAGATTTAAACTGATAATCTATAATCGGGAAAAATCGATAATCCGGAATCACTGAAGTTCCAACGAGTCCGGATTTAAGACTTTTGACTGTATATATCTTCAAACGCAATAAAACAGGCATTTTACCCAACATTTACTTAAAAAGAATACCAATACTAAGAAGAGGAAAGAAATGTATTGAGGGTTATACAGAATAAATCAATAATTTCATCTGCAAATAGAAACCTTATTACTACCACTAATTATGATCATTTTGCACTTTCAGGAATTTCTCAAAAGCGAAATCATCCCCTCACATACAGCAAAGGAAGAGCAAAGCAAGGGTGAAAAAAAAAAATAGAGCACTGACATGCCATATGAAGTATAAGAAAAAATAACACATGCCAGCATATAAGATATAGCTTTTTCCTAAACATATGCCAAAATAATTGTATGTATCATATACCATTTTGATGCCATGATATTACAAATTTGAGCCTGTTAGAACAGACTGACTGAAGATTTCTTTTGGAAAGAATAATAACTATTGTGTGCATCCCACTCCCCGACATATGTACAGTGGTTCAATTTTATACCTAAATTTGATTCATTCATTACTTATATAAAAACTATTATTTTATTTTTTCTGTAAAAGAGATCAGAAATCAACTAAAATTATTAAAGAAAATACCTTCAAAAAATTAAATACATCTTACATGCTGTTAAATATCGAAGAGTAATGCAATATAAAGGCCAACTTTAATTTAGAAATTTCAGTACTTTCTGAAAATCTGCAGTCCCAAAAAGTCAAACTCACTGGCAAATTTGGAGAAAATTATTTGTTTGGGTATCTTTACATTTACCATATATTCCGCATATAATGCACACTTTTAATACAAAAAATAGGACCGAAATTTATAGGTCCGTGTTATTTAACAGATATAAAAATGATAGCTTAAACATAAGGAAATAATTAGATTTTTACATGCACCAAAATGCTGTTTATTTAAAAGAAATGACAATTCTTATGAAATTAAACATTTTCATTATCAAATAACATGAAAAGTTCGTCTTCCATTACATTTTCAGGCATTTTATCCAATTTTGTTTCATCTTCATCATCATTGTTATTTTGATCCATAAATAAATAATCATTATTCATTCCATCTTTCACCAACACCAAACATCCTTGCTGCAGCACGATTTCCATTTCTTTTGCAAAATGAATGGTTTTGCATTTGAAATCAGCACCGAGTTTGCTTCTTTATGCAGTAGTCATATTTAGTACTAAAAGGAACACTAGATCAACTGTATTTCAACTAAAGCAAATGTGATTTACTAAAGCCTTCAATCTCCACTTCAAAATCTTGGCTTCAAATGAAAGAGAAAACATCCAACTCCTAATCCCATGAATACATTCAGGTTGGAAGTGCTCTACAATAGCATTCTTTCGGAAAGCTAGCCGCATTGAATACAATCTACCTTCTTTGCTGGAATATTTACTCCCTCAAGCATTTAATCTACACACATATTGTTCCCCTTATCACTTGTCAATGCTGTTTACCATTATTCGAAAGACTAGGACAAAAGTTCAAATAAGTAACTTCAAAAGATAAGAGCACTGCACGTGTACCTCCTAAGTTTCTTTGCGAACAATTGCATGCACGTTATATGGCAAATATACCTAAAAATTAAATAAAATCTGAAAGCTTTCAGATTTTCCATTATGCCCAAAGGGATTTTTTTTTCTTTAACCTTTTGTGTGTTACCTTTATTTATTAGACGTTTTTTGCACTTAAATCATAAAATTCAATTCAAGAGCAATGCATCCAATGCGATCTATTTTTATACATTCTTCTTTTTCCATAGAAAAAAAAAAACTTCTCAGTTTTTTTTTTAACTCTTTCCTCCCAAGCACACATGAACCTGCTTTTGCTTAAAAAAAAAGTGGAGATTTATACAAAGTGGTAGTATGCATCAACCATGATCACAGTCTTTCAAGAACAACTGAAATTTCAACACACTTAAAAAAAAAATAAATAAAAATAAAATAAAAAATTATTTTTTTATTTTTTTAACGCTTCAGATTTACATTACGCCTAATGGTTTTTTTAAAAAATGTTTTGTGTGTTACCTTATTAAATGTTATGTTCTTTACACTTAAACCATAAAACTCAATTCAACAGCAATATCACAAACTATTTAACCCTCTGAGTGTTATGGCCGGATTTATGCGGTCATGAGATTTTTTGTCATTTGTTATATATTAGCTTATAATTTATGATATTTTGTTTTCTTACTTGCTTTAATAATATAAATATCTTAATAAATTTAAGTTTATGAAAATAGAGCCTAAAGTAAGTAAATATGAAAATTTAGCTAATAAAGTGTTTTTGAATACAGGTCTTCATGACAGATCCAAAGACCCATGCTGCTCAGAGGGTTAAAAAAGCATATCTTTAAAATTTCCAATACACAGTCTTGCATCTTGGAGATAAAAATGTTCTATCCCTATGCAGCATTGCCATTGCTGGCTTTGAAATCGT